TCCCCACAGAGGCCGCCCGGCAGCACCCCCTGACAGCCCGGCCTGGGCACCCACACACGGTGGGAGGAATCTGGGTTTAACTTCAGGTTAATTATTTCTTACTTTATCCATGAGAAGAAGCAGTACCATCAAGGCTTCTGGTGAGCTGTCCGGAGAAGCAATACTAAGCAGCAAACTCCCCAGTAGCAACTTCGCTTTTAGACCTCAGATGGTGATTTTAGTGTTTAATTAAATATTCATAAAGGATAGGGTGAAATAAAAAATATGAGCAAGTTAACTAAATACAGACAGAAACAAGGAGGAATACCTCAGAGAAATTCTGTCCTGCTAGGTTATTCTGACTCCAGAGACAGCAAAGGAAGCTGTCGTTGCAGTTGCTGATATTTGGTTTTACAGTGAAATTTTTTTCTATGTTCTCAAAACCCCCAAAAAAAAAAAAAAAAAAAAATCTCATTTATTTCCAAAATACCTTCATCAGTCAATGACGAATTATATATAATCTTGGACAGTCTACTCTGCAAAGAAAGATCAGTTTTCTCTGGTATCTTTATTCCCTGCCTTGCTTCCTACGGTCACCAGTTCAGCACAAACTTAGCTTTCCTGCAGCAACACACATATAGTTTAGGCCAAAATCATCCATGCCATAAAGCATTCAGATTATTTCCATTGGATAGACATTCTTTTGACAGCTCTGCTGGTAGAGCAAGCCCTGTACCATTTCTCTTGACTTTTCTTCTGGTTTGACTCCAAATTTCAGATATAGCCATACAAAAGCAACACTGCAGACCACCAGACCACCTGCCACAGCGACTGGGATGACAAAGTGCATTTGAGATCTTGACAAGAAGCTGGGAAGGGGCAGATCGTTTGGTCTTTCCGTGGTCATCCGAGCTTTGGCTTGGCCTGAGAGTTCTTGATTAGTAAAAACTAATGTATCTGAAGGCTCTTCCTTTCCTACAGGTGATGAATGATCACATGGTCTAGTACCAAAAGCATCTATAAAGGAACTGACAACCTTGTTGGTAAGGATAGAAGGACCTTTGTCTATGGCAGTTGTGGAGTTTAGAGTAGAAACTGAAGTAGTCTCTGGTGGAACTGGTGTGGCTGGGACTGTGGCGATCTCTTTAGTAATGGCCACGTGGTCCGAATTTGAGGCAGGAGAAGTTGTGTCTTGAACATCAGCCATAGCATTTGCACTATGTCCTGCAGGTTCTGCTGTGGATCCTACAGCATTGTCAAAGCCATGCACAAGAGCCTTGAGATATGGGGTGAACTGGCTGGAGACCGTGCCTGCTGCAAAAACTGTTGGAGGTGCAGGAGATTTTAAGGAATCTCTGTTTGCTGCTGGAGTGACTTCAGAGTGGGCAACAACTTCCCCTGTCACAGGGAATGATCCTCCAGGGAGCTGGGTGGTGTCCTGCATGGCTGGTGTGGATTTGCTGGACACCTCCATCCTGGCAGCAGGGACATGTATTCGCTCCAAAATACTTGTGCCGGTCCCTTGGAAGAAACTAGATGGAGCAGTGTTTTGAGATGGAGCTGTTACTGTAAGACCAACTTGTTTCTGAAAACCACCAGGCTCTTCTGGTGCCACTGCTGAGGTGGCATCACGTGGAAGTGGGGAGGTTGCAGCCTTTTTCTGGTTCAGTTTCTTTAAAATCTTCTTCACCCATGGTGCTTCTGGATCTGCACAAATCTCAAGGGACTTCAGAGTAATAAATCTGAAAATAAAAAGGCAGCACTTATTGAATAAAGAAAACACTGTTTTAGATGATCAGCATGATAGGGAAGGCATGCAGACAACAACACTGACTCTCTCAAGCTCATAGTAAACACCACCAGCTTGGATGGGTTATTTATCTCAGGAAGGACAGGTGGCTCTGAGATCTGATTGAATGAGGAGCATCTGGACATGACTCATGGGTGAAGGGTTTCCCCTTAAGAAGTTTTCATGTTTCGAATGCATTGTCCTGATGTTTGGACGCAGTGTTCACCTCCAGCACTTGGAGCAGGGAGCTCTGAAGGCACCAGCTCCCCAGGGGCAAGCGTATGTGAAGACAAAACCCTCTGATTCATCGACTGAGATGAGACTTTCCAAGGTCAGCCTAGCAGGTTCACTTTGGGGCAACCTCCTGGGCTGCAATAAAGTGGTCTTGATGGTGCCTCATCTTCAGGGAAAGCTGAAAACAACAAGTATCCTGGGGAAGAAATGTAGCTTTCCCCATCTGCAGACAAGCTCACAAGTCTGACTCCATCTCCAGAGAATAGCTGCTTTCACAGAAACATGTGAGCTCTCGCCCTGCGTGCTTCCCTGCCCTGTTCTGCCCACAAGTACGTCCATCAGTCCCTTTCCCCATCCCTCTATCCTTGTCTTGCTCTGCACATGAGTCCCTGACCTCACTTGGAGGCTGCTGGTCTTTAATTAAGGAAAAAACCCACCCTTCCAATAAATACCAGCATTCACTCTGTTTCTGGATTGCTTCGAAGCAAGGTGGGTGGCTGACAGCCTAGTGCTCCATCACCGTTGGAGGGGCCATGGAGGGCAGAACTTACATGATGGCTTGTCTGGAGCAGAGGGGCTCTGTCCTGCGGTAGCTCCTGATCCGCTTCTCAGCTATCGGAGAGGTAAAGCGGCCACAATCCCTTGAACACTTCACAGGTGCTTTGGGTTGCCCTGAAATAAAGTTTTCAACATATTAAATGTTGGCTTTTTATTAGGTACTGTAAAAACTGGCGCTGTTTCTTTTTCCCCTTCTCTGGGGAGGAGGAGTCCAAAGCTTGCCCTGGATGTTTCCAGTCCCTGCTAAAACGAGATTAAGACAAATCCCATGAGGGATTGTATCACCCAAAAAGATGATAAGATACTCAGAAAAATGATAATAAAGCGTTGAGAAAATTCTGGGGCTATTGGGACCTCTTGCCTTATAGGATGTGCAAGAACTGGATGGAGGTCCCTTGTGCAAGTATCTGGAGGTGCAGGTCCTGCACCCTTTGGGTCACAGGAGGACTGCTCTCAGCACAGTGCACAGAAGACATACCTTTTCATCCCCAAAAGACCTGCTCTTGGTGCAGGCAGTGCAATTCAGAAGGGAGGATGTTTGTCCTCTCCTTATCTGGATCAGTCATATCTCCTCCTCCTAGGGCACCTACTTGACCCCTTCAAGGGACAAAGCCAGCCACACCACTGGGGACCCTTCATTTCTGCACCTACCCCCAGCCTCCAACCATGGGCATTTGCCAAGTGAGAGGAGGTGGCACAACACAGCCTGGCAACTTGTTTCTGACATCCCCTGCAGCAAGACTTAGAAAAACAAGCCCTGATTCACTTAAGGCCCCCTGTGAAGAAAGGATCCAGAGTCTGGTTTAGATCAGGCAGTCTCTACAAAATGTCTCAGATTCGCAAATGAATTTGGTGAATTTGATACAGTTCAGTTGGGAACAATCCAGCCAGTGCATGCAAGAAGGGGCATCGCTACAGGAGCACCCTCTGCCCTTTTGATTCAGTTTTCAGTGGGGGAAAACCATGGCTGCAAAGAAATCCCAAGCAAACACTCCAGTGGCTCCCCTGCAGAAGCACATTTCAATCTCTAGGTCTCTGTAATGTCAAAGCAAAACTCTTTGTTCACACAATAATGCCAAGAATACTCCCTCAGGGGGAGCCGGCTTCCCAATTAACTCTCATTAGCCAGAGGACATACAGCTGGTGTCCTCCACCTCCAGGAACACCATTCAACAAACCAGGCACAGCAGCAAGAGGGCCAGACCCATCCCTGTGGACAGCTGGGGAGGTGCATGGTAGGGACTGCTCCCAAAGGCTCTCTGATAACCATTAACTGACCTTCCAATTACAGGCATCACACATAAAAGGTTTTCAATTAACTGAAATCCTGGTGTGCTTGGAAAGCACCCTTCAAGGAGAGAGCGGTCACAGGGAGCTGGGAGACAGCCCTGGTTGTCCCCCTGGTCCCAGGGCACACAACCCTGCTCCTCCGAGCTGCATCTGAATCTCTGCCAAAGGGACCTCAGGGACATCTGGGGTCTGGGAGTTCATCTACCTGGGACCATTTGAAACACCACTACTGAGACCACTGACACCTCTTTTCAGCACAGTTCCTCAAGTGACCCTGGCCAGGGAGCACCACCAGCCTTTCTTTCTGCAGAGCCAGCTTGATTTCATCTCATTAGAGGAGATGGGTGCTCGGCCTCAGGTGAGCAGAGCCAGGCAGTGCAGAAGCAGGCAACAGTGCCCAGGGCAGGGTAAGCTGCCCAGTGCCCCTGTTGCCCACTTTGTTCAGGCCAGCCTTGGACAACCTGCCTGGAGGTGCGAGGAGAGGAAGAAGCCCTGTCCCCAGCTGTCCTCACTGCTCCTGTCTGGTGGCAGCTGGGCAGAGATCATAAAATCATAGAATGGTTTGGGTTGGAAGGGACCTTAAAGCCCATCCAGTGCCACCCCCTGCCCTGGGCAGGGACACCTCCCACCACACCAGGTTGCTCCAAGCCCCCTCCAACCTGCCCTTGAACCCCTCCAGGGATGGGGCAGCCACAGCTCCTCTGGCCAACCTGGGCCAGGCTCTCACCACCCCCACAGTGAAGAATTTCCTCCTAATATCGAAACTGAATCTACCCTCTTTCGCTTTAGAACCCAGCGGTAGGGTTTAGTCTCTTCTCCCAAGTCACAGACGAGGAAATGGCCTCAAGTTGCACCAGGAGAGGTTCAGATTGGATATTAGGAACAATTTTTACACAGAAAGGGTTATTAAACTTTGGAATGAGCTGCCCAGGGAGGTAGTTGAGGCACCATCCCTGGAGGTATTTAAAAGACGGGTTGCCATAGTGCCTAGAGACATGGTTTAGTGATGCAGAGGGTTTTGTTTTGTTTTTCTATCATCAGAGTTAGGTTGATGGTTGAACTAGATGATCTTAAAGGTCCCTTCCAACCTAGACAATTCTATGATCACCCACTTCTCATCCTAAAGGCTCTTTGCCCCATTTCCTTCCCTCAGAGGGGGGGCAAAGTCCAGTTTTGCCTGCGCTGCCGAGATGCTGGCTGTCAGCCTGGCAACCCACCCTGCTTAATTGCTGCAGCAATCACTGATGATTTCCACAGCTGACACCAGCCTGGGGAGAGGTGTGCCACCTCCTCCCAGTCCCACGCTGCACCACCCTGGGGCACACAAAGACCTTTGTCCATCGACCAGGAGAGCATTTCCCACCTGTGCACGCATGCACGCACACACACACACACTCTACAGGCAACAGCACCCCCACAGCCATGGGAGCACCAGCATCCTCCGGACAGGGAGCCTGCATCCATCCTTGGACAGACTGCCCCCACAGCATGACCCTCAGGGACATGAAAAAAGGGGAAAAGTGCATTCTTTTCTAACATGGAGGATCAGAAAGTCTCTCCGACGCTCTCCCCACCGCCCCTCAGGAGTGGCAAAAGCCATCGCAGAGCTGCTCAGAGTTCCAGCATTGCCACCACAGGCTCCCCCCACCACTTCTCAAGCCCTGCCTGATCCTGCTAGAAGATCTCCCCCAGACCACAGAGGCCCCGTAGCCCCATCCAGCACCCCCTTTCCTCCCCCCACTGCTCCCCGGTGGCAAACGGAGCGGTGGCTCACCTCCTGCCAGAGTCACCAGGCACAAGACCCTCAGCACAAACAGGACCTGGAAAGAAAGAGCCTTCATGTTCCCGTTGGTCGGTGGCAGCAGGAAGGGCAGGCAGGGAAGGATTACGGGCAGCAAATCCCACTCCTGAGTGCTTATTGCATCCTCGGGAGCAGCACAGCTGCTGCGGCTCATCCCAGGGTTGTGGAGCCCCGGGATAGGGCTCTCAGTTGTTATTCAGCTCCCCCCACGCGCGTCTTAGGGTGACGACAGGAGGAGGAGGGAAAAGCAGGATAGGGGAGGGAGGGAATACCGCCTTCTCCGGAGCTAGATAGCTCCTGGAATTTCCCGGCCACACTTACATCAGCTTTTCTCAGTGCTCACAGGCAAATTATTCAGGCTGGGACTTTCAGGAGTTGTCTGCTCCATCCTCCTCTTCCACCAATGCCTCTCTTGGCCAGGCAGCCCCTGCCAGGGCACCACTGTCCCCAGGCTTGTGAAGCTCCCCCCAGCTCCAACCCACAGCCCCCTGACGCACATTAAGCTCATTATTTACCCCAAATGCAACAGCAGCTATTCCCTTCTGTTTCGGGAGCCATCTTACAGCATCTTTTGGTCATCAGGCCAAAAGAGGCAGCAATTGCTAATCAGGATCACAAGTTCCTCAGGTAGATTGGCAAGCCCAGGCCAGGCTGCCTCTTAGGAGCCTCACCAAAGGAGGTGTCCCATGGCCTCCCCAGGCAGTCCCTTGTTCCCTGGGCACGCTGCCTGCAGCCTGTGCTGGTCGCTCCAGCCCTGACTTTGGGGACACGGCAGGCTCTCGGCCATTGGGGGTCACTGATGCTGAGGGCAGGAGAAGGAGACTCTCAGCTTTGCAAGCCACCAGGCTGGCAGGGGGGGCTTCCCAGCACCAGCACGAAGCCAGGTTTGATGCGGATATCCCCCACAGCTGTCACATCCTGCACCTTTACTTTCTCTTTCATCTCGGATCCCAGCAGAATACATAACAATTTTCCCCTGCCCACTCCCTCAACTGGGAGACGAAGATAAGGACGAGACTGAGACAGTGTGGCTGCCCCTGAAATCTGTTTTTTCCCCCCCGAGAGTTTTCTCAGGGCTGGTGGAGATCTAACTTCTCTGTGCTGTGGGAAATTCCAGCAGCTCCAGTTAGGATTTTATTCCTAAAGACTGAAAATCCCCAGCTTTCCACATGATGTACTTTAAAAGCATTTGGTGAAAACCCCAGCCTGCAACTTCAGCCTTTGCTAGAAGAAAAGAAAAATATATTTCAAGGAAATAAAATAAAATAAAAATTAAGACCTCGATTGATTGATCCTAGCCGGTTTGATGCAGCCAGAACAGCCCAGGCGGCGGCTGTCGGGATGTTTGCTGGCCCCTTCCCCAAATGGTGTTTTCTCAGGTCGGGCAGAGCTTTACAGGAAAGTTTTATTCCGGGAACCGGTGCTGCCCGAGGCCGTGGGGCACCTTGGCTGCTGGCCGGGATGGCGCAGTCCACACACGCTCGTGTCTACCCTGAAGAAACAGGTTCTGCTTCTTCTGCAAAGGGTTTGCTGCCAGCGGTGGATACACTGAGAAAGGGCTCCAGAGACAGCGGGAGGGTGAGCGCTTTGTTTGCTAAAGGCATGACTTGCCTTGTTATTTTAAGGCACAAGCAGCTCTTTGGCAGCTGCTTTTCCAGTGCAGACCAGGCTGGTGGTGTTTTACATGGCAGGGGACTCCTCCAGGACATTCTTGGAGACCCCCACTTTGGTCCCAGTGAGCTGGATTTGGAGGTGGCATCTGCCCAAGGAAATCCCACAGCTGGAGGGTGGAGGGCAGCCACAGCCTCAGCACGGCTCCATGGGACACGGCAAGCCCCCAACTGCCATGGGTCCAAGCCACCAGCAAGCCCTGCAGTTCCCACCAAAAGCAGGACACAGGACACAGGCTCTGATGGGAGTGGGCAACTCCAATGAGCCGTGACAAACCTGGGCTGCAGCTGGCAGAAAACTGGCCTCATCGCCCCCAACCCACTTCCTACACCACCCTCCCCATCCCATTGCACATCTCCCCTCCAGCACGGCCACACCAGCCACTTACCCCACTTCTTTTAGGTCTTGCAGCATTGAAAAACCCGAAGTCAGATGATCTGCTGTAGCCCAGGAGATATTTCTGCTGTAGCTAGCAACAAACCATAGGTGTTGCATTCATAGAATAAATCAAATTGTTTTGGTTGGATGAGACCTTTAAGATCATCAAGTCCAACCATCAACCTCATACTGCCAAAGCCACCACTAACACATGTCCCTTAGCACCACATCTGCCCATCTTTGAAATAACCCCAGGGACGGTGACTTAACCACTTCCCTGGGCAGCCTGTTCCAATCTTGACAACCCTTTTGGTGTAGAAATTTTCCCTCATATCCATGCTAAACCTCCCCTGGCACAACTTGAGGGCATTTCCTTTTCTCCTATGGCTTGTTCCCTGGGAGAAGAGATTGACCCCCCCTGGCTACACCCTCCTTTCAGGGAGTTGGAGAGAGCGAGAAGGTCTCCCCTCAGCCTCCTTTTCTCCAGGCTCAACACCCCCAGCTCCCTCAGCTGCTCCTCACCAGACTTGTGCTCCAGACCCCTCACCAGCTCCATTGCCCTTCTCTGGACATGCTCCAGCCCCTCAATGTCTTTCCTGTCATGAGGGGGGGGCCTCACCAGTGCCCAGTGCAGGGGGATGGTCACTGCCCCAGTCCTGCTGGTCACGCTGTTCCTGACACAGGCCAGGATGCTGTTGGCCACCTTGGCCACCTGGGCACACTGCTGGCTCGTATTCAGCTGCTGCCCACCAACACCCCCAGCTCCTTTTCCCAGGGCAGCTCCAGCCACTCTGCCCCCAGCCTGGAGCGTTCACGGGGTTGGTGTGACCCAAGTGCAGGAGCTGGGTCCTGTCCAGATCCCTCTGTGGAGCCATCTGACCCTCAAGCTCAACTCTGTGTCCTCTGCGAACTTACTGAGGATGCACTCAATCCCCTCACCCAGGTCACTGATAAAGATATTAAACAGAACCAGCCCCACTCAGCCCTGGGGAACACCACTTGTGACCAGCCACCAACTGGAGGTAACACATTCACCACAATTCTTTGGGTTCCACCATCCAGCCAGTTTTTTTACCCAGCAAAGCATACACTTCATATTGATCTGACAGTGACAGATCTCAGGACTTCTCTGGGCTCATCTTAGCTTCAGCTAATTTTAGCTTCTTTAATTATGATAGAAATTGTCTAGGCAATTGCTGTTGTATTCATTTGATTTAGTTTTGCTTTAATTTCTAGAAATAGCAGGTAGTTGATAAGCATGGGTCTGGGTCTTTAGGATGTGATGCGGGTGAGGGCAGGCAGAGGAGGACACCAGCAAGCCAGTCCATAAGCACGAATCACAGTGCCCAAGCAATGGAGCATGCAGCCCTGCGAGTCAGGGACAACCAGCTTTCAAGGAAACAAAGAGCTGAAAACCTGAGTAACTGGGAACCAGGGAACACAGACTGTGCTAAGAAAATGTATGAAAATGAAAACAAGCAGACCAAGACTGAGGGGGAAGAAAGACCACCATGAACGTCACATACTTCTAGCAAAGACAGTGGCTGGGGTAGCTCATCACAGTCCTTCCCCATTCTTCCTTAGGAGAACCTGAAGGAGGCTTCTTGAGGTTACCCTTCACACCTCCAGGCTCTCTGAAGCACCAAAGAAAAGCAGCAGATACTAGGGAAAGGGTTTGGGTGTTTCCCCCATTTATCTTTCACTGCAGCATGGCTAAGGAAGGCCCTTAGACTGATCTGAAACATGGACAAGGCAAAACACAAACAAATGTAGGTCTGTGCTCCTGCTATCAAAGGGGGGCAGAGGGACCATGCACTGTGCACCACTGGGGCTGGGACTGTAATCTCTGGGACACCTAACATGGCTCCAGGTTTGATCTGTGACTCACACCAGACAGCTCGATGTGGAGGCTGGCGTCAGTCTGGGCTGTCTGGCTCCAGCTCCTGCCCTGCTCTCAGGAGTTTCCTATCAGGACAGATGTCCCACTGCTTAAAGGCTGGTTTGACTGCAGAGAAAGAAAGAACAATGTCTGGTATGGACTTGATGTTGGTGACAGCATGAGGCAAGCAGAACGCCAGATCCGATGCCATACCCTTAACCTTTGGCTCCTCACTGGTAACTATTAGCCAGGAGCTTGGCTTATTGCTCCAGACCACAGATACCATGGGCCAAAGGGCCAGGTCCCACCAGGAGAGACATAAGAACAGCTCCAGCATTTCCCACCCACTGCAGTTTTACCAGAGCTGTTCATGGGCAGGTGCTCAAGCAGCGCACGGGGTCAAGGTGTCACAGATGGAAGGAATGTCTGACTAATGCCAGGAGAAATACTCTTGAAGGCTAAAAGTGACTTGGCCCTGCGAAGGCAATATGCCAAACAGCATGCCAAGAGAATAAGGGCTGTGTCCTAAACAAATAGGAAATGCCACCAGAATATGGCAGGTCTCCTGCAGGGTATTTCCAAGTTGGAAATTTATGCTCCTTGGCTATTCTTAGTTCCTTGAGCAAAGAACTCCACACTGTTTGTTACAGTAGGTTTGTTTTCCTGAAAATCAGGTGGTGACTGGGGAAAAAGGAAAAGCCAACGAGACTTAGAGAGCTGTACGTGACCTGAAAGACATACCAGAGCTGATCAGATGAGAATGCTGATGATTCCCACTGCATGGTCTGTTCAGGAACTCCTAAGACCTCAGGAGCTGGCCATACTGGAGCAGGGAAGCCCAGCACCCCTGGTAGCAGGTGTTACCACCATTCTCTGCTGTCCACCATGTCGTCCATGGTCTCTGTCCCACAGGGTTGCTAGAAAGAGGCAGTAGAAACACCTGGCTTTTGGGAGGGTCCAGCTGGCATTGATACTGCAGAGAGATGGGCTGACAAGGGATTCCAGCTCCGGATATATGATGAGATTCTCTTTCCCCTACTAATGCTCCCAGCAGGGTGCTGTGGCCCAGAGAAATCCAGAACCAACCCAATGTCCTCCTCTATCCCGGCCAAGGCAACTCAAGAGATGGTTCCTTAGAGCCAAAGGTGGCCTCTCACTTTGGAGATGCCCTCAGCCTATGTTTAATGTAGAGCTCTCAAGCCATTAGCCTAATAAGGAACAGAATTAAATAACAGGGGATCCAGAAAATCAGTTCGGTACTGCACA